GGCTTGTTTTACAACGTCGTTGCCAAGCGACGAAAACCCAACCCCGATGGCAAACACCGTGGTTTCGCCCCTTTGGTTGTTATACAATGGATCATGCGTCCTCGACAAGACAGGGAGGGGGGGGAGGGGGATACTCATGTTTCACTAGCCTTGTTGTTCAACCATTGACCTGCCTTGATAGGCCACTGGCCTGCCTTTTTGTCAGACCATTGACCATGCGTCCTCGAGAGGACGGAGAATGGTCCCAACGGGACCTGCAAGGGTTCTGAAAAGGTGACGAGCTACACCGCCGCGGGCCTCAAATGCTTCCGTGGAAATAAAATCCGACCAAAACCCTCCCGCTGCTGTCTGGGGGTGTACGGGCTTGTGCAAGCATTCATTCATGCAGTCATTGGGAAGGTGCGCTAAACAAAAGATATAAGCTCCACACCATTCGCATGTCTTGCTTTCTCGCATTATATCTTCGGAGCTCGTTTGGAGCAGCATCGCCCCCCACAAAACAACACAAAAAAAAAGCTCAGCTCTTAACGCATTCCTTGCTTCTCTCTCTCTCTCTCTCTCTCACACAAATCTGTCACGCTGGTGTGGAGTAGCATCGCCCCGAGCAGCATCGTCATCAACGCGATTGCTCCGGCGAAGTACACCTGCCAAAAAAAAAATTTCATCACAAACATGAACAAATACAATTCTTGTGAATTTGACGAGCGGGGCGGCGAAACCAATCTAGCCATCGCGTGTGAACTGTAGCCAGTAGCCAGAGCTGACGCATGTATCCGGTTTGGCAGCGCAACCGTTCGGTCCTGTGGTTCTGCTCAACGTCGATAATTGTGGATCGATCGGGAAACTTTACGATGGGTTCGTGAATAACATGAAGAATAATGTGGTATTTCTTTTTGGTTGGAACACAATCCCCTGGACTTGACAAAAAAATAGGAGACAAGAGGGGTCAAACCTGCAATCGACGGCAAACGGCGTACGAGTGGAATATTCTTCGTAGACGCGGCCCTCTGCGCAGGATCGGATGACTGCGGACGGTGACGACAACCACAAGGTCCGAGAGGGTAGTGAATTTTTCACTGTTCCCTCCTTCTTGTACGGAGACTACGCCGCACGCTGAAGGATTGGCCACTAAAATTGCCACCCACAAAGGCGCTGCAAGACGAAAACTCCACTTGAAAAAAACGATTCCACTTTCTTACTTAACGATCGTACCCTGTTCATCCTGGTAAAAACAGCAGACACGACACACAAGATCGACTAAATATCGACGCCCGAAAGGAGGTTGTTGCCCGCGTGCCCTCCCGGTCGCCGGCCGCTTCACACCCCCCGCCCCCCGGCCAAGATAATGATTCGAATGGATTTGCGTGAGAAACATGCATACATGAGTGTCCTCTTGTTAACCGTCAAGTCAAGTCTCATCGCCAGGGCGGCCAAACCAGCATCACCTCTTGGAGTTGCTCCGACTTTCGATGCGACCCCCCTCTTTCGTTCGCCAAGCCCTTCCTCCACCGCCACAGCACCAGTAGGCTACCCACGATCTCAGCGAATGCCATGATGGAGATGCCGAGCAACGAACTGCTGTCCTCATCTTCCCCTGCCGCATTCCGATGTTATTTTGTTGTGTGGGGAAAGAAAAAGTTTTGTCGTTACGGATGGGTACCAAGTACTATTCCGCGTTCTATCCATTCTCTTCGCGATGTGTGCAGCGAAGCGAGTTTCTCCATGAAAGGGTTCCTGGATACTGCTGTGGGCGTCTCGCAGTAGCACGCTTGGGTGTCGATGGGGAAATAAAAGCTTTGCCGCTACGGGTATAGATACGAAAGCGAAGCACAACCAAGAGTCCTTCGAAGTATCCGCGGGCGTCCCACAGCGGAGCCCGTGTGTGCTCGCCAAATTCACCGGCACCATTCCGGAGTAAACCCGGTCCAGCTCGGAGCACAAGACACCTAGAATACTCAATACTTCGTCCCTTTCGGCACTATGCCGAGCATAGGCACTATGTTCAACCGGCACCATTGAGCGACCCCCACTGCTCCGTCCTCTCGAGGAAGCGTTGCCAATGGTCTAACCGCCAACGCGTACAGAACATAAGCGTACGCCCCCCGCCCCCACTGCCACCATCAGTATTGCTATGTCTTCTCCCGCCCCCTGTTTGTTGTGTGGGAAATGGACAAACCGGTAGGTGGCACAAGATGCCGCCCCCCCTGCACAGATCTCCAAGGCCCGACTACAGTACTCCACGACGAAGAGAATGCATAATTGAAACGATGTTGTACGTTTTCGGAGAGAGCTCGACAAGACGGTTCCAACACCGCCGTTTTCCGCGCTGCCACTCTTGGTGCTGTGGAGATATCGAGCTTCGAGAAGCGGTGCAGGGTGTGTGTTATCTTATGTCTCCTACGGAATGCATACGTCGTTCTCCGCTGAGACTAGAGTGAAGCTGGAAACCACAACCGAAAGCCATCATCAAGAGTGTCGCGGTATCGACGTCGAGTCGAGGTTTGGGTTCTTGTCGCTTGGCAACGGCGTCGTAGAACAACTCGATCGCTTCGTGAGCTCGACGACCATGTCACCGCTTCTTATGTTCCTCCATTGTTTTTTTTTGCGGTAACCACAACGGTGGTCGAGTAGATAATATTGTGAGGGGTCGAGAACGCTCACTCCGGGCAAAAAGCGAGAATGATCGCACCACGTGTTTTTGAAATGGACAAGCACCCTCAAGGCAGTTACACAGGGCTTATCACTGACGGGCAGTACTCGGAATGGTTTGACGTCGGCCAAGGTCTCCGACAGGGGTGCAACCTGGCCCCGCTGCTGTTCAACTTGTTCTCTGCCGCGATGCGCATGGTCGCAGTGACCGAGTTCGACAAGGACCCCAAGGTGACGGCGGATATGATCAAGATCGCAACACGAGTGGAGTGCACGGGCAAGAGGGGCAGGTCGGCGGGGAAGAAGGCGATGATGGTGACGGTCGCAGAGGCCCTGTGGGACATGCTCTACGCTGACGACGCGGCCATCGTCTCGCTCACGCCGGAGAGCCTCGAAA